AATTTGGGGAAATGTTGTAATTGTGCGAGTGTTTCACGCTCTGAGACTCTGGAGTTCTGTTCTACAGTCTTTGGAGGTGAGGTCATTCCAGTCTGTTTCAGTGCTGGCCAATGTACACAACTATCCCAATCCTTATGTTGTGTTTTCACCATATTAGTCCAGGAAAATGACTCTATTTTTCACATTTGGGGAATTTCATTGTTAGACATTACTGCATTACAACCTAACATTATTATTCAATGTCTTTTCTGTGGTATCAATTATATAGTCTTTTTTTAAGACTTGGAGCCAACCACTTAACATATTTACATTGTGAGGTAAAACAATGTGCTGTCATTTGGCTCATGTTAGAAGCTATAGATAAAGTTAAATACATTCAGGCTGATGGATTGAAAACATGGAATAATAAGACTAAAAGACTTGGGGCAAAACACTTAATAGATTTATGGATGGTGAGGACATGACATTAGTGTAGGGGTAGACAATAAGATTTTTAAAAAAGCATGATTTCCGTTTTCTCATGACTCATGTTCGGTCTTTATTTTGGCTTTAAAAGGGAATTTTTGTTGATTGCTGCTTCTGAGAGTCCATGCTTCACAGTGATTGGTTAAAGTGTCACAGGGGTTAGATTACAATTCGATTTTTTTTTTTTTTACCATATCACCAAAGCTCTAGGTTACTGAGAGCTAGAATAGGTTTAGATGATAAAATGATTTATTGCATTATATTTTTACTGTGATAATGACCATTTTATTTTAGTTTTCTTAACTTTAAAAAAAATCTGTGGGTTGGCTTCATGTTTGTAAGGAAAATAATTTGCCCTTGGATGAATAAAAATAATTATGATTCTGATGAGAGACGAGGTGGTTAAAGTTATTTTGTTTAAACAAACTTTTTTAAACTGATGTAATTCAACAATTTATTGGCCATAGTCAGCCAAAAAAAAGTCTCATAATGTTATTTACACAAAGCTGTTCTGTAGTTACATGAAAGATAAATAACAGCTACATAAAATAAGACAAAACTGATCCAACTGTGTTAGTTTTGTTTTATGGAAATAAATACTGTTTTCAGTCCCAGCACTTATATTAGTCAATGTCAGTTATCGGCAGATACTTAAAGCTATAGTATCGGAACTGAAAAAGCTCGATCGGTGCATCCCTATTTATTGTTGTTGTAATTTAGTGTACCTGCTCTTTTATTTCTGAAAAGCCCTACATAAATATCGTTTACTTAGCCTACTTACTATCTAAATGAGGGAGCCTATTAAGGCGACTATGGGCCTTGGGCGGGAGTCTGGAGATCTAACTTTCCACACTAGCAGTAAAAGGTTAATTATACATAAACATTCCTATTGATGAGAAGTGACTGCCTAAACATCTCCAATCCCAATTTTCCACTCTTCCACAAAGGCTCCTTCAAACCGGGTTGCGTCACATAATTGTACATTTACATTGAGTTAAGAAACCTATACGGGAAAGAGAGCACGTCAGAACAGCTCAGTGTAAAAGTGTGTGGTTTTTTCCATGTCCTATTGCCCAAGCCGGGGTAACTTCTGCACAGCTGTGACTATTTGACCAGCGTGCTTCCATTTAGCCGAGAGAGAAGAGAAACGCACAGGAAAAACATGTTGTGAACGGGAAGGTGGTTGGTGTGAATCGCCAGTGGAACAGCGGAGGAAAGAGTCATATTTTCCATAGGGCCGGCCTTGAAACCATTACAAGCGGCTCTGTTTCTTTGGAGCTGGTGGAGTTTGAGATTCATTAGATTTTCCACAACAGTGTGCAGAACGCCCCGGGACGCAGCCGTGGACAGGGGAAGGGTGAGCCTCGTTAAGGGCACTTTTTGTGGATGGACAAGAGGAGGTTTACAAGCAGGTTTACAAGGCTGCACTAAAGCTAAACTGTGCGGCATCTGTGATTTGAAAAAGTTGCTGAAAATGAACCTGACGAAATGGAAAAAATCTTGAGATTAGTAATGTTTTTTTTTGTGTTTTCTTTTTTTTTTTTTTTTTTTTTTTTGCAGTCACTCTTAGTTCAAACAGGTTTTGTATCAAAGGATATTTAAGTCATACTGCTTAAAGGTTCTATATTATGCAAAACTGACCCTTGTGAGGTTATATTTGAACTTTGTTACCTCTTCAAGAACATACCTGGAGTTGTGTTTTGTTTCATTCACAAGTTTGAGTAATTCTTTATTGTTAGTCTGTCTACATTTCCAAATTTCAATATGCTTTGTTCCACCTTGTGATGTCAGTAGTAGTTTTCAAGTTAACATCTACCTTTTACCTTTTGTTCAGCAGAGATTGCCAATTCCTGGGCCAAAATTATCCAAATGATTATAGTGAAGGTGTATGGAAATTAAAAACACAGTGTAAGTGTTTTCTGTTTGAGAAGAACTCAGCCTAAATATGCTGGATTTCTGTTTTAAAATGCATGAACAATATACAACACATCTCCAGGAATATGTTTGATGAGGAAACATTGTAACATACTAGATCAGAAAATAGCATAATGTCATATTATGTGATTCAATGGAAAATACAGTAATATTACTCCTACATTTTAACTTTATAGATGATCTGACTAATTCAACTCTTGAGAGAGAAACTATAAAACTCAATACACTTTTTATAGTTGTTGCATGGCTAGTAGACATTAAGAGACACGGCACTGACAGACAAAAATGCAATATCAAATTTTATTTGCTATGGGAAATTTAAGATTAAAATTATACGTTTGCAGTACTGAAATTGCGCTTCAAATAATAAAATATAATAAAATAATGTATTTTTTTGAATGTTCATCCCTGCACCATTACACTTTTAGCTTCATTGCTTCAAGCTCCAACCAGTTCAACACTATATGACGCAAACCACAAACCTGCCCACGCCGTTCATTTTTGTCCAGCACCTTTCTCCAAAACACTCTCCGAGTTTAGCTCATGGCTGCCCATTGTGAACACTTTATGCAACATCTTTCACCCTTTTTCTATGAATGATGTTCAGAGTGGGAGCTTCCTGCCCACAAGCACGCTGCTAAAAGTTTAGAGTCAAAACCAGGTCATTTTCAGACTATTTTGAGTTTTGACAAAGGAGAGTGCAGAGAGATGCTCTGCCCAAACTTATGTAAGGTGCCTTCTTTTCATCTCCATCTCTCCACCACTTTTAGGTTGAAAATAAAATGCCCGGAGGTTGGTTTATCGGCAGCTGCTGACATCTCAGAAATGAGTGAAAATCTAAAAGGGCCTTTTTTGCAAAGCGTTGCATCAGATTCTGCATGAGAAGCCTCGCAACAAGACCAATAATAGCATTCACACTTTGTATGAGGTAATTAGCAGGAAGCTAACGCTATGTGCTGTGCTGTTATGTTATGCTGTTATAATGGGAACACAGTACTGACACAATAAGAAGGGAATTGATGCAAAATTTCAACTTGCAAACATATAAAGGGCTTTTTAGAAGTGCAAATTCTGATTCTATTGTCACAAACAATACAAAAAAAATTTAACTAAATTTCAATAAAAACTATAACTAACTATACGTGGGCCTATCCATTTTCTATTATAAGAGCAAGACCATTGTAAAACTCAAGTCAATTTTGTCCTATATTTGTAATTACTAAAGCATCATTACCAGCTCAAATGAGTATCTCTCAAATGAGTCTCTCTAGTATAACTCTTTCAAAGAAATAATTAAACTGTGGTTAAATCAGGAGAAACTAAAGCTCATGATGAAGAACAACCTGCCAAAACATATCCTAGCCCTTCTATCATGTGTGCTTAGGGCCTGGTTTATTCCTAGTGCATTGGGGGCGTTTGGTGAATGATTCTGAGTTGACACCCGTTGGAGTCGCCCACGGGTGCTGCGTTGGGGCGAGCAGAAGTTTGGTGGGCGTGTGGTTCGGTGTGTCTGTCCTGTGCTGCAGCGATATGACTAACATCTCACACCAAAATGATTCTGAGGCGCACAGATGGCTTTGGGAGAGAAATACTGCTACACTGCTGCAAGTCTCAAGCTTAAGTGTAACAACAGGGCTGAACCAGGACTAAAGAAAAAACACAACAAGAACCAACCGAGCAATCAATCAAAATTACGATCAAGGGCCTAAAACTGACTAAACCAGGACTTTCATAAATCAGTACCCACATACTAATCAATACAAATAACTACATACACATTTGAAATATAAGTTCTGGGAAAATGTATATAAATTAGAAACATACAAACCTTCCCTGAAAAGCACTACATCATATGCCAATTTTATAGAAGCTGTATTCATTTTGAGTTGAAAATTACATTCTACTAGGGCTGGAATGAGATGAAATTGTGAGATTTCATCCTCCATCTTTACATTTGGCACAGGCATGAAAGGGTTGGTCTGGAAAATTGCATATCTTTGAGCAGCTGTAGCAAAAAGACTCCACCACATAGACACTTGTAGCTCACATATTCGGAAAGAGAGTACTTTACTGTATACTCTGTTCCAGTCTTTATTTCATGAGGTAACACAATCATATATACTGGACTCTAATTTACACAATAAATACAAAATTAAACAAATTAAAAATCACGTGACTAAGATTGATCAGATTATTTCGGTATTAAGTAAATTATTTCAAAATCTTGTTCTCATTCTCCTGGACCATACCTCATGTCTTGTTTTATGAAAATTCTTCAACATTCGACTGTATACAAAGAGTGTCTTTTATACATGATATGGAAACTGGAACTGATACTGGCATTATTCCTTTTCATTAGTATCGTTTGCAACTGTAATATTGTGACGACACGATTTGACTCAAACTATGATTTAAAGAAGCATCTGGACCATAAACTGAAGCATACCAACACCTGGCATCAAAGTTAGGCTTTAAAGGACTAAACTGGGATCAGACTAGGATTAGATAAAACCCACATGGTACCAAGGTAGATTCAAGTGGATGTGTATACTTTGTAGTAAATGTATCTTAAAAACGCTGACAACTGTTTTTAATCTCACCTGTTTTTCTGCACATGCTCAGTTTGCTTTTAGCTTGAGTTCATCCTGTAAAAAAGCAGAAAAGAATGGGAGATTTTTATTAGAGAAATGTAGTGGCAAATCCAAAAAGAAGAATGGTCACATGTAATACTTAAATAATGGAACGAAAAAGTGAAGTACTTGTTTATGGACTAAAATATGACAGCGTAACACACAAATACAGTGACTGTATACATAAGGATTACCAACATACTGACAAAACCAGCAGGTCAGTGGGCAACAGCAGCCTCCTTAACATCATAAACCACGCCCACTCAGCCACAAGCCACACCCACAATCATATAAACCCACTCACTGTCAAGTTTCTCTCCAATGTATGTGTTTTACAGTGAGTTCCACCTGGTTCCAGTACTTTGAGTTTATCTGGTCGGGATTAACGCTGATTGCAAGAGTGGATCTTTCTGCTGGATTTTCTGCTTCTTTTTGTTTCTGAATTCTTTGTCCATATAATCATACTTACTAACAAGAATAAGGAGTGACAGTGATGTAACTTCTAGAAAATAAGTTTGATACAGAGGAGGGACAGAGGGAGTACCAGTGGAAACCAGTCAAGATACACAGACACAGGTTACACTGAGGTTTGGTTTAGACTGGAGGGTGACTTACTGCCACCATTTAAACCACCATTTTTCAAAAATGAGTGAAAATGGAAAAGGTATGATTTTTTTGATAGTTGTTTTAATATGGTTTCTTTAGGGGTAAAACCCTCGTTTATCTCTGGTCATGGATCTGATCCATCAGCTGTGTGCAAATGAAACACATGAAAATTGTTTCAGCAGAACAAATAGAGGAGCTGAAGCGGGGGGTGGTGTCCGGTGCCTCCACCTGAGAAGCGCTTTCCCCGAAAAAAAACAACAACAAAAAAACACGGACCGCTCAGAACAACATAACGAACCAAAGGGGATTCACGCTTCTGTCCAGACGCTTTGCACCCCCTCGGAACCAGCCGCGGTCGAGCACGGAGGACCGGAGCAGCCCAGACCTGTGGTCCACAGCGCATTCTCGCTTTTCCCGCATGGAACCAGCGCGCAGATGACTGCACTGAAGCACTCGGACCCAGTCCTTTGCTGGTCTTGCTAACCCCCGTCTGGAACCAGGACATGGAGGACGAAGCCTCCGGACCATCTGACCAACACTGGACCCCCAGCCCCGTCTTGAGGAGCTGCGCGCTGAGTGTTCCCGTGTGTTTGGCGCTGCTGCCCGAGCTTAGAGCTTCTGCTCGTTGTCAAAGCAACAAGTAAACGCCAGTCGCACTTTCAGCATGTCAGCTCCTAAAACTCCGTTTATCTCAGTTTACACGCAAATGTGAAACTGGAGTTTTCCAAAATCTCCACTACAGCTGGAGTTTTTTGAAAGATTCGTTTTCAGAGGCGTTTGCGTTTCCGTTTTTAAAAATACCCGTGTACGTGTAAACAGGGCCTAAATGACAAAGGAATAAACACTAACCACCTGATTTCAGTGGCTACAGACGGCGCACCGAGTATGAGCGGGTCACAAAAGGGGTTTGTGTAATCATGAATGCTCATTTTGTATATGTAGCCTACTTAGTCATTTTAATAGTCGGCTTATAAAGCTAATATACTGACAGCCTATGTTGCCTTCATATTAGGCTTATATAAGGCTTTGAATTTTTTGCGGCTCCAGGCAGGTATGGTTTTTGTTTTTTTGGGCCAATATGGCTCTTTGAACATTTTGGGTTGCCGACCCCTGCTCTAGAGTGAGGACCTGTTTGTTCCAGGTCTCCTCAGCTGTCCGCATCTCTGCTGCAAACGTAGACTCCAGGGCGAGATGCTGTTTGTTGAGGGCCTCTTTAGCAGAGTGTCTCTCTGCAGCAAGAGTAGACTTAAGATGGAAAACTTGTGCATTCAGGGCCTCTTCAGCTGACCGTGTCTGCTCATCGAGGGCAGACTCCAAGGCAGTGACCTTCCTCTGTAGAGCCTGCTTCTCCTTGTGTGCCTTCTGGAGCTCCTGTCGGGTGCTGACCAGAAGCTTCTCTTTGGTCTCCCCCTTCTCAATGGCTTCTTGCAGAGTAGTCTTCAGCACCCTGTTCTCTTCTTTACACTGTTCTAGTTTCTCTACCTTTGTTTCCTTTTCCTGTTTAGCTTCACTCAGCTGTTTCTGGAGCTCCTCAAAATTCTTCTTGAGGGCTTCTTTCTCCTGGACCACCTGCTGTAACTCCCTCAGTCTCCATGTCTGTTTAAGGCTGATGTGGAGTTGTTCTTTGTGGATTCTTTGGAGATCCTCAAGAGTAGTCTTCAGCACCCTTTTCTCTTCTTTACACTGTTCTAGTTTCTGTGTATTCTTCATACTGGCCACCTTCAAGTTCTTTATGGTGTTGTGAGCATACTTTAGCTCCTCAAACATATCAGAGCCGTAGTAGTGGCTGTTTGCCTTCTGGATTTTCAGTTGTTCCTCGAGCTGCTTCACCTGCTCTTGGTTCCTGAGGGCGAGATTCTGCTGCTCTTGGGAGAACCTCTTAAGATTCAAGTTCTCCTGGTAGGAGAAAATGCACATGTAAACAAACATTCTGAAATGCTTTTAGATGAACAACAACTAACAACAACTAATTTCAGGTGCCTGTGACCAAGGCCAGTGTTAATGGTCTTTGATTTTCAACAAAAAAGGTAAGTGTGACTAACTGAAAAACTGTTGGCTCAAACTACCTATATCTTGTGACTGTGATATTATTTAAGAGGGACAGCAAGGTGACATAGTGCTAAAACAAAACTCAGATTAAAGGCTAACTTGAGTAACACAGCTTCAGACAGAGCAGTGCCTCCAGTTAGCTTCACCCCACCAGGAAATGTTAATGACATCTGCTACAAATTACAGTTGGTATGGTTACATAGAGACATACAAATAGAGGTAAGAACTATAATTTTTTACAGTACTGTCAATGTATTTAATCTCTACTTTAATTTGAAATTGAAAACCACATATGAAAGTGCAACTTGAGGACCAGAGGCTTCAGAAAGAGCAGAGTTTACAGTTTGCATCACACCCCCAGGGAATATTGATCACGTCAGGCATGAACTAAAAAACTAATTTAAAATTGTAAAGTTAAAGTTTGGTCCTGCTCTATTCTACTCTGTCATGTCTGTTTTTATGACATGTTCACTTGTTTCCAGTGAATTCCTGAAAACACAGTTGGAAGCTGAGTTGGAAGTGTTTGGAGTTAGCTCACTGTTGGCAGAAGCTTTCACAGGCTTTAGAATGGATCAGATCCGACCCCAAGTGTTTCAGCAAATCAACATTCACAAGACAATAAGACAATTACTAGATTTTAAACTGCAAAACATTCATATGATAATTGAATAAATGAACATGTTAAATTGCTTAGAGCTTCTGTGTTATTACACAGTGTTCATTCCAAATTTCACTATAATGCATTGATCTTATGGCTCTTTAGACAGACAAACACAGAAGTCACAGAAGTCTTCTGTAGCCACAGTTGCCCTGGCCCAGACTAACTGAAGAGTGGCTTTCATTCTGTACCAACAGCCCCTGCAGCCATCACTAATTTGGTTACACAAAAGATGGGTGAAGAGTCTTGCCCAAGGACAAACTGGCAGTTGGCCATGCCAGTAGCAGGGATTTACCCACCAATCTCTATCAACTGATCTACTGATGGCTTGCTTTTTAGATAGTTCAATTCAGCAAATAATGCAAGTGATTTTATTTAAAGGTGTACTGTGGATCTTAAAGGTCCTATATTACATAAAATTGATTCTTGTGAGCTTTAAGACAAATTATCATGCTGTTACCTCCTCAAAAACATACCTGTAATTTGTTTCATTCACACGTTTGAGTAAAAAACATTCTACCATCAGAAAAAGTGTATCTGTCAGCAGATCGTCTCTTGTCTGTGATGATACTTACTTACTTTGTTCCACAGTATGACATAAAACAGCAGGTTACAGACTCGTGAAGAGGTGACCGTGCTGTTTCATTTTTGTTTGTTTGTTTGTTTGTTTCAATAAAAACACCTGTAATAAAACAATGTAATAAAGTAAGTTTATTAGTATACTGTGGTAAATGCCAGCCAAGACTCCATCTCCATAGAGAACCAACTCCTCCCACACACACAGACAAGTACTTAATGCAACTTTAATGTACTGAATCTAAAAATCTCAAGTATTTGCTGGTGTATTTTGTCAAAACAAACCTATTCCATTCTACTTAGAACATAATACATCTTAGTCAGTACAGTAGAAGCCCTTTCACTTTCTAAATCTTACGAGGAGCACTTGAAGGCACCATCAGTTCAGTGCTGTCTCCCTGAACACATCGCTCTTCCATTCAGCTTCCTGCACATAAATATTTGAGCAGCCCATTAGGAGTGAGGTAATCTTAACTCACACACACACCACAGGGCCGTACTACTGTTGCAATGGAGCTAGCCCCTGGAGCTAACGGAGGCTAATTAAGACTGTGAAACTGCTTTAACGAGTTTAGAGGCTTCGTAAGGCGGGAAAGTGATTAATTAACAGTCGAGCGAGAAAGTTCGTTAACGTGATTAATTTATACAACAGTATGACTTTAAATAGGGCCAAAGGTGAGGAATGGAGAGGCAAGAACAGGGGGAGAGAATTTAGAAAGAAACAGGACAGAGAGCTAAAAATGTTATAATTTTCTTTTCTTGTATAATTATTTTCTCCATCCAAATACATTCCTCTCATCTATTTTAATGCATTCAATTGATTTTGACAAAGGTGTGATACCATAAACACTTTATTATCCAGTTTATTTTTATGTAAACAATAGTAATTATTAGCACTAGTTCTAAAATAGTCATAATAATCATGATAATTGTAAAAACATCTCATTTCAATACTAGTTTTTGTAACGATTAGTATAGCTGTATTAGCAAATGAGTTTGTGCAAGCTGCAAATTATATTGGTTATAATCATAGACTGTATTAAAAAGTGGACTAAGGGAGTGTGACGTCACCCGTAGTGTTCGGCTCCAGTCAAATGAAGCTCATGAAGCTTGCAGTTATGGGGCA